ATCCGACCAACCTGAGTTCCCAACTGAGTCGGATAATCGATGCTCTACTGTATATCTAAAATGTTTTAACTTTTTGTAAGAGAACATTTTATCATTAATGATTTCATTATGTTATCATTAAAATGAGAATAATTGGAATAATGAATAATAATGAAACTGGAATAAGGAATAATAAAATGAGAATAATTAGAAGTAATCATCAACATGATGAAATCTGTTACAGAATTTTTTTACTTGTGTGTTTCATTTCTGTAAACAGCTTGTCAGTAATTTGCAAATGTATCTTAGTAACATCCAGTTTGGACCAATGATCTCCTATCCTAATACTATGGCTTATAAAATACTTTATAAGCCATAGTATTATTTTTTAAAAAATAGCTTCAAATTTAACCTCATTTTGTACAATTAGAAAGCCTGCTCTTTATTCTAAAAGGGACTGCATTTTAAATTACTTTTTTAAGATTAGTTTTATGATAAAAGTGTACCTATTTATTATACTTACATTTTCAATAAATGAATTTCCTCAACTAATTTTTAGAAACAAAAACGCAGTCAGTTTTGCAATGAAAAGGCCCAATTGGAGTTTTACTTAAATCATTTGCTTTTTAGCAAATGAATAATTCAATGATTCAATAAAATACTCCAAAACTTTGAAATAAAAAAATTTATTACTTTTATATAATATTTGTCTGGTTTACTGACATCAGTAACATCAATGGGTCAGTAACATCTGCAAATTGCATCGTTCATTTATTTGAAGCTTGTTTAGTTTTTTCATCAGAAGGTTTGTGACAGCACTGAAACCTCTCTCAACTAAATATGAAGATGGAAAAGCAATAAAAATAATTTCCTAGCCATCTTCCACATTTCAGGATACAATGTAGGTATTTGATTTTGCAGCCAAAAGTTTTGATAACCTTCTTTAAATTTAAATTTGAGCTCTTCATTGGATGCCAATTAAATAAGTTGTTCTTGCAAACTGATGTGAGAAACCGTGGGCCAAGGGTTAATCCCTCTTGACCAATTACTCGGCAACAGTCGGTGAAGACCGCTCATGTTGTAGTTCTGGATGGCTTTTTATCAAGTGGCAAGGGAGGTGAGAAAGTCAGCAGACGTCCTTTCAGAGACAGGTTTAACAAAATAACAAAGCATTTATTGAATAATCAAGCTAGATTACATGAGGCGATAATATTAAGTTTAAAGGCGGTTAAATATGAGTTAACTATACAAGTGCTGCTCTTAACAGCTTTAACGGCTATTTTGAGAGAGAGAGTTCACATAGCTCTAAAATACAAATAACTCTATGAGGATATGAATGAAATGTGTTCGTTAAATGGGCCGTAGGAATTGTAGTTGGCGCAGGAACTGTAGTTGTGGTGATAATGGATGGAAGTTCGAAGTTGTGGTCTGTCGTATGGCGATGTCCTTTCAGTCGCTGTGTCTGGTGTATGGAGACAAGATGCACATATTAATTAACAAGTATAACTTCCTTTGGATTGCCCTGAGCTTCCGGGGCTCAAGCTTTTATACTGTCTTTGTGAGAAAGGAGTCACGTGATCGACTTCTGTTGACACTAACAGTGCATTCCGATCAACCAAGTGTCAACTTTCCCACCTAATTGTGAAAACAAACGGTGACCTCCAATCTAATTCTCACCAAGAGAGGGTTTTTCCATCGGAGTTGTTTACAATTTTTTTTTCCGACAACTATGTAAAAATCGCGGATCTCACATCGATATTTGTTTCTTTGGTACATGGAAAGGGATCCAAGATCCAATCAGATAGTTTCAGTGTGAGCATGTTGTCAAATCAGTCTGAAAAATCTTTGTGAAGAGCCTCCAAATGTTCATAATATAAAAGAATGTCATTGTGATTTTTCTGTAAAGATAAATTTATGAATTGAGAAAATTCTCCTCTTCCAATATGCTGTCTGTATAATATCAGCTTTGCCACAAAAGAAGAAATAATTGATCTTGTTTTAACTAAGTTTATGTTATTGTCGTGGAGCCGATTTTGTGGCCATTTTTATATATTAGATAGGCAATATTTGTTTTGGAGGTAATTAAATCAGTTTGTTACTATTGGAACTTTAGTCTCAAGAAACTGCAAAACCAATCATAGTGTGTGTAGAATCTTTTTAAGCAAGTATATTTGGATAGCCTGCAAACCTCTGTATGTAGTAATAAATTATTGTAGTGTTCATCATTTTCTTTGCACAGGTTGGTAAATAACCTATTATTAAGTGGATTAGACTTAATTTTGTTAACTGCATAATAATGTATTGTAGACTTTGGTTAATTTTCTCACTGAAGATTTTTGCTACTAAATTTTATCGATGGATCATGCAATGTATGGCTATTACATTTGGTACAGCCTCCTTCAGAGATGAAATAAAACCTCAATGATGTCTTACTAAGGCAGATTCTGTTAAGGGAATCTTTCTCTTGAAAAAATGTTTCAACAATGCAAAATACTCCTGTTTCATGTTGCTTATCATTGTTTTAGCAAATAATAATTCCTGCAAATTTTTTTATTTTTTTTATAACGTGTACGTACATATGCTAACAATAAGACTTCATTCTCTGGTAATGTGGATTCAAGTTGCAGTGAAAAATGTGTCTACGAGGCATGTTCGGAAAGTAAGTGTACTAGATTTTTATATTTTTTTAAAAAAAGTGTATTTGAAAAAATTACAGGATATTGTTAATACACTTGTTGACTATTTTTCCACATAATCGCCATTCCGTTCAGTGCATATGGTGAGCCGTGGAACAAGCTTCTTTATGCCCTCGAAGAACTCTCCTGCCAGCTCCTTCCCCCACTTCAGAACCTCTTTCTGCACCTGCTTGTCAGTTGAAAATTTAATTCCACCCATGTGTGCCTTCAGGAAAGTGATCTGAAGGTGCCAAGTCAGGAATACAGGGGGTGGTTCAAAACATCCCAACCAAATTAGTTCAAGAGTGCCTTGGTGGCTAAGGCTGTGTGAGGACGGGCATTCTGTGAGTGTCTCATATAAAAGTGTTCTGGAGAGTTGTGAAAACATTGCAGAAATTTCATCCACTGTCAATTGGCAGTCTTCACGAACAGTTTCTTCAATTTTTTTGTACCAACTCATCAGTCAAAATGGAAGATCTTCCACTCCTCTGTTCGTCATGAACATTTGTTCTGCCTCCACTAAACTTCCTACACCACTTAAACACACTTGTTCTGTTCATAACACCTTCACTGTAAATTGTTTTGATTCGTGAAAAATTTTCGGTAGATGTTATTCCTTCTGCGAGTAGGAAGTGGATCACAGCATGTGGCTCGCACTTGGCAGGATTTCTTACTGACATCTTTCACGCAACTGGATACTACAACATGAGTTTACATACTACCATGTTCCTACGATGCTCGCTCCATCAGGAGATCTCTCTCTACCACTTAGTGTTGCCTACCATCAAAAAACAAAAAATTACAGCCCATTATGGTCACAATACACTTACTTTCTGAACATGCCTTATATTGTAAGAATTCTACATTCTGCTTTATTTTATCTATCCTATGTTGAACTGTGTTGTTACTTATTGAAATTTTCTTCAGGCTATCAAGTAGAGATGTATGAAGTATGGTGTGTAAAAGCTCTGCTATGCAAGGCAAAATTAGTTCTTTTGTCAATTGTGTGTGGCTTTCCTGACTTAGCAAAGATATCATATAAGATGCTTGTTAGCCATCATCGTTTTTTCTTGGAACAGGTTGAAAACATCAGATACAGTGGGTCTTTTGAAAACTGCACATGGAGTGATTGTGAAAGTAGGATATCTCTTTGCCATTTTTATCAGTGTGCATCCTAAGTGATCTTTCAATCTCAATGGCTTCATGTATGGAGAAGATGTTCCTAAACTTCAAATGTGTTAAATATTGATAAATAACATCACTACAGACCCAAAACATTATAATTATTAAATTTATTAAGAGATGGTGCCTAACGCCTCCCTCTAGTAGCATTGGTTGGCTTGTGTTAAATATTGTTTATAAAGTTCCATTCAGCAAATTTTGAAGTAAAAGACAAAATGTACACAGTACCCAAATGCTGTCAATAATGAAAAATTGCAGGAAGAAATTGTTAAAAATTGACAAATAACATACTATATGTAATATAATAATATATACTGTATATATAAAACCAAAAACATTGAAAACATATGAGCATAATGCAAGACTGAGAGATGACTTGAGTACATAACAGATAGTGTTCACCCTCCAAACACATTTTTTCATTGCATGTGCAGTTTGAAGTTCAAAATGAATTTTTGTCGAATTTAGCATTTGAAATTGGTCATTTAAAGTACAAGGTGCCACTATAATATGTTTTCATATATGTTATATATTAAGTTCAAATAATCCAAAATGCAGAGTTAATGTATGTTTTCCTTTTTTACATGTCTCTTAAGAAATTAGAATAGTTATTTCAGAATAAAACACACCTTTAAAAATCCAGCAAATAAATATTAATAAAATAAAAACATTTTTGATTGTTTTTTAATGCTCTTCCTCAGTTAACATAAAAATAGAACAACAAAATAGAATGTAAATATGAAAATATAAATAACAGAAAACGTAGTTGTGGTCGATAAAATAAACGAACACATAAATAATATAAATTAAGTTGAAAATGTCACTTAATAAAAATAAAATAAAACTAAAACAAAAATGTCTCTTAATAACATTAATTTTCATAAAAGGACTGTCATGCTGTAGCCAATGCATCTGCATCCCTGGTTGCATCAACCATAGGGATACGGACGCATAAAATTATTTTTGAGAAATGTTGAAATTATTTATTATTATTATTATATTTATTCTTACTGTAGTATGTTTGTTGAACTGGAAAAAATAAATTATAAAGACTTATAATTGTTTGTAAATAATTATTACTATGACACAATAAATGTTAAAATTTTTTATATTGAAAAAGTTTTATTAACAACAGCTTTAAATTTAAAATTTTTATCATCATAGAAATGTGGCAGCAGGCTTATGTGAAGATGTTGTAAAACCTTTAAAAAATATTATTGAAGCTCAACATAAAACAAGAAAATTGGTAAAAAAAAAAATTAAATTGAAAAAATTATGTAAAATTTTTAAATTACTTATTATTTAAATTAAAAAATTGTAGATTGAGTCAACTGTTGACAAATCAGCCAAAACAATGGCTGATCGTCGAAATGATGAACAGAAAACAAAACATAAAAGTTATTTATGCTCTAGAGAAAATGAGCGTTTGCAAGAGCAGGCCATAGATGCAAAAGCTAGTCGTGGTAAAGTGTTAACTGAAAAGGATATTAATAAAGTAAAGTATCAGTTCTGTATTTAATATTAAATTCTAAATTTATAAATTTATAGAAAATTATACATATATATTTTTTACTGCAGTTAGAGACGAAAAGAAGAAAGGCAGAAGAAGCACAGTCAAGAGCAGATCAAGATTATTACATGTGTTGTGTAAGAGCTGAACGTTCAAGACAAGAATGGGAGTCATCAGTATATCGTGCTAGTAATCTTTTACAACAATTAGAAGAAGAAAGAATGACTCATATGCATGATTTAATTCAAAAATATGTTAATCATTTAAGTGTTGTGGGACCCAAAAAAGTTCAGGTATTTTAAAAATTGTATAATATCTATTGATTTAAAATAACTAAACATTATAAACAAATAAATTTAATCACAAAAAATAATATAGTTTAGTTTATTATAGAAAATTTTCAAATGTCAACAAAAATACTTTCATTGGACCATTAATAAGTTCTAAAACGCTTTATAGTAGAAGTTTGTTAATCTGTTACTTATGAGACTAGAGTGGTGCCATATTACTGAATGTTTTGTATTTTTACAAAATTTGGTAATCTGCATGTTTAAGACATTATTGTAATTTATGTATCGCCACATGCTGTATGCTTTGGGTTTGGAATGCATGCTCTTAATCAGTCTGAAGATGATATAGTGTATGACTATACTGTGTTAAAATTGATTGAAAAACCTGCAAAAATGTAAATGTGTTAATTTATTATGCAAAATTAACATTCTGGATTTGTGTGTGTGTATAATTTTTCAGATGTACTGTGTATATGTGATTCAGAAAAACTACACTTATTCAGAGTAAGAGGAATCTGCTTTCAAGTTATTGGTTGCTTTTCAAAGCTATTAACGTTAAATTATAAAGTTATTATAAATTACAAAGTTATTATGGGACATTTTAGGTGCTAAGATTAATAAACAGACCTTCTATTGTAAATAAATTTTTCATAGCTATAATGTATTGCTTTCAAAATAAGCTTCACATTTTTTAGGTAAAGAATGATTAAAAATTTTAAGTGGTAAGATTTTATAAAAGTATTGTATTGTCCCTATTAGAAACTCATTGGGCTTAAATATTTTCTGAAACATTGGCTTTTATTAAAACACTTATTTACTGTGTATTATTTATGATAAAGCTACATGTGAGATATGAAGTAGTTTTTAAAAACATTATATTATTGATACTTTTAATTTCATATACAGATAAAACAATAATACAAATAGGTAAAAGCATTGGATTGTGACATTTTTTAATGAAAAAATTACCACAAATTTGGTCCCCACTATTGCTATGGCTACAAATAGTTCTATAATACATTTAAGATAGTGCAAAAATATTGTAGCAGTTAGGAAAACATACAATTACTGGTATTTGAAAAATTACTGATGAAAATCTTCAGATTTTATCGGATTGTACTGTTTACTGTATATTAAACTACCAATCACTCAATAACAAAAATATATTATTATAATGGGGAGAGGCCTCTGTTAGAAAGACCATTTTGACCAAAGAAATTGAAAAATGTAGGGACTTTTAATAGGGACAATACAATATAATAATAATAATAACTACTGTATATTATAATAATTATAAATAGATATCAACAAAGAAATTAAAATTTTACATCAAGAATAGGCTGGTGAATTATTCATCATTCCTCTTGTGGGTCAGACCTGCTTTTAATGGCTATAATTGTAAATTATCTTATAATCAACAATTTTTTGGTGTTTTCTGTTAATTAGCTAGTATTGCAAGAATAATTCCTTGATAAAAAAATTTAACAATAATTGACATTTTTAATATAATGCAATGTTATATACCATAAAATATGGTAACTCATGATATGATATTTGTTAAAAAAAAAAAGGCTCAAAAGAAATCATCCTATATTTTATGTGAAGTTGTGATCTCCTATAGGCTAATGAATTCACCAAATGGCCTTTAGTTGGCTGTAGGCAACTTCTCCCTAACCAAATGCTTGAATAAAAATGTTATTGTTTAATTAAACATATTATTATTATTATTACTTTCTTTAACCAGAATACAGTAAAAAAAGTAGAGCCAACTGTCAAAGGCACAGGATAGCTTAAATACACTAAATACTTTTTACTAGATATTTTATGTTGAAATGGGAATGTCTTATGTGCTGTACTGTACATGGAAATATACTGGTGATCAAAAGTTGTGCTAGAGTTTGACTACCAATCAGGACAGGGCTCTTAATCTCCGTGTGTGTGTGTGTAAATCATATACAGTATATAATGTTTAAAGGACATTGTACACTCTTCTTTATACATTATATACATGTATAATGTTTATCTTAGTAAGCATGTATCTTAAAATATGGTTTTTGTTAAATATTTTTTAATAAAATTTGTTTTATAAATTTTAATCATCATTTGTTTCAGATCTGTGAAAGATTGAATACTGTTATTTCATATATTGATGTTTCTGCTGATCTTCAAATGGCTGTTAAATTACATAGTACAGGACCAAATGTTCCAGAACAACTGTTACCTGATTTTTTTGTAACTTATATGCTTTCTTATTAGTTTTAAAATTTGTTTTAGTTAAAAATTATTTATAGTATATATTTAAATAAATTAAAATATTACTAACACATTTTCAATTATAAAAGTATTAAAAATTTAAAGAAAAGCAGAATTCTAATAAAGTACATCTATAGGCTGAAGATGTCAACAACAACATGAAAAAGGAACGTAGGAAAGAATCATTAGAAAAATTTCTTAGAATGCTTAAGCATGACTTAGAATTAGAAAGAAAAGGGAAACAAGGTATATTTTTAAACATCTTTGTATATGAAAGTACAGTAGCTCTTTTTTATATCACTCATTTGAATAAATCACACATTTTTGGTCTTCCAAACTTAAAAGCCCTTAGCCAATCACTGAAAAAAAGTTCCATTGAATTTATGTGGCATACAGTCATATTGACTTTGATACTGCCAGAGTAGAAATACAGCCCGCCAAATAGGGGGCAAGTCAGCATTAATATTGAAAATAGACAAAGATTTGTAGATAATGTTATATTGTTACATCCATCTGATATATTGCTCATTTGATTGGTATCCTAATGTGTAATGTAATAGAGGACCTACTGTACTAACTTGATTCTATGATGCATGTGAATTTGTAGGCATCATAATTTAATTTATTTTTGTGAAAATTTTTACAAATGAAACTAATTAACTTAAATAGCACATAATAATTTACTTTAAAAAATACACTACTTATAAACACTTTATTTTAAAAAAATGAGTATATTAATTAATTAATTTTATAATTTTTTGAAAGTTTATTTCATTACTAATTTCTTTGTTTAGCTATTTTATTAAAAAATTAAATAAATAAAATAATAATAATATTGAAATTTAAAAACAAACCTTGTTTATTTTAACATTTTTTAAATGATAATTCATTAAAAAATTCCTTATGTAAGTTAAAATGTACTTATCTAATATAGCTGAGCAGTTCAAATTTTATATAATATAATTTACTCTATATACCATATTTATTTGAATGTAAGATGCACCCTATTTTCAGAGATACTAGAATCTGAAAAAAGTTGTTCTTAAATTCAAGTAAATATGGTATTTGAAATGCAATTCTTTTATATATCATGTTGTCAGACATAGCATACATTAATTTAGAAGTTTAACAGTTTTAATAACTTATTTTTGAATAAGTCTTCTTTATAATCATCATCAGTGTGATTAATGTAATAATATGCTTTTATTTTAGGACTCGAAAATTTAGCTAAAGTTTTTCAAGAAACACCAAATTTTGGAGATGCGGATGCCCAACAAGATGTAAATGAAAAATTGCAACATGTAAGTAAAATAAATTTATTAGAATATATACTATAAAAAAATATATATATGAAATTGTTACTTCTAAATTAATATAAAAAATGTTATTTAATTGAAACACAGGTTATTGTCTAAAAAACAGATACTGATACTAAAAACAAACAATTATAACAATTAGTATCTGTTACAGAATTTATAAGTTATATGAATAATGTAGTTATTAAATTGTAATTTACTGTTCAATAGCCCTGAACTAAACCTAAATAAAAAAATGAGGGTTGGTTGGTTGCCAGATCTGGCCTTCAGAATGGGCACTATTACACGGATTAGTTCAAATTATGGCTAGTGTAACAAAAGTCCCGAATTAATTGACTATATGTTAATAAAAAAACAAAATTTATTATGAGTGAACAAACTATTTACAAGAGATTAGTAAAAAAAACAAGCATTAAAATTCATTAATGATGATAAATTATACAAAAAGTATAAAATGCAGAACTATAATTAATTCAAAATCAAAAACGAAACCAAAACAAACATTCACAAAACTTCCCAACAATTGGGGTAGTTAACTTTAACTTAAATTTTTAACTCTTCACAAAAACCAACAAAAGAAAATTCTTACTATCTAAACCACCTAACTCTCACCAAAAAATGTCAGGAAATTCTTTTTGTCACTTGTTCTGGAACTCTGTTTGCTTGCTCTCAGAAGCTTCATCTCATTAACTTCATTATTGCTGGGGTTCTTTTATGCCTTGGTGTAACATCACAATTAGCTTTGCCACTTTAACTCATTTACATACTTAAGCAGTAACAATTCTTCTCTTCTTTTTGCAATCTTTTAGTTATACTAATCTTTCCAAAAATTCTCAGATTTTTTTAAAATCAATAACCAAAGGATAAAAAGAGAATTCTTTAACTCCACTTGGAGATTGCTTAATCTGAGATACCATGTTAGATTGACGGTGTTGGCATTACAGGTTTCAGTCATGTGGACGGTAAGTATTTTGTGCTTTAGAGTTTTGTTGGAATGGTGTGGAGTTTTCATTCTTTAAACAAGATGAAACATCTTCAAAATAAATAATAATGAAAAAAGTAAAGATAATCTTGTAATGAGTCAAGGCCAAATGTTAAATTCAAAAATGTTTTAGTTATTGTGAAATCACAATGCCAGGCTGAAATTTTTAATCACGTGACTTCTGGTCCAGACTGGAAGTTCATATAAAGTACATTTATCAAATAAGGACCATCTAATGTTTTAAGATGTTTTGTATTGTCATTATTAGAGGAAAAAGTGTGAAAGTTATACTGCAACATACTGTAGATGTATACTTGCAGAAATGTGAAATTAAAGTTAGCAAGTTAGTATTTGAAAATTTTTTTGTAATAATACATTTTCCAAAAGTTATGTAATGGGTCTTATTTGAAGATGGGCGTTCCAAATAAGGCCCATACATAAAGAAATAATTTATTAATTAAGATAAAAAGCAAGAGCTAATTAAATCACCATAAGTGTAATTAAACCCAATAAAATACAAATAGCTTAAACATCACATTCAGGGCAAAGAAAACTGGATATTTTGTCTTTAGCCATAAGTCCAACTCATTCTTCATGAACATATTTTGAATACTGTATACACAGTCTCATGTCAGCAATTTGATCTTCTTTGCATAAATAACAGTACCAGCTTTCTTTTCTCAATATTTGTCCAGCTGCAAGATCTATCACAAATTTTACAAGTTGATAAACCCATTTGATGAAAGTTGCTATGGTCATTGATCCTTTCTCAGTCATCTCAACCTCTCTGCTAGATGGAAGATAATCCATCTGTTCAGGATTTAATCTTTTCCCTTTAAAAATAATCATATACAGTATGACTTGACTCAGTGCCTTTCCACATGAGACAATAGATACATTTTCACTGTGTTCAGGTACTACAAGATGCACTCTTTTTCCTCCTTTTCTGGCATACACATTTTGCTGTTTATAGAGAGTGAGTCTACAGCTTTTCTCATCTATATTATACATTACATGGGGCTTTTTGAAAATATCCAAACACACCAATACAGTATTCATCTTATCAAAATAGTTGTTGACAACACATCTACATGGTGTGGCTAGAAAATAACGAGACTGTGATCGCCTGCACGCAACATTCTCTCTTGGGCCAAAGTGAGTAGGTGGGTGAACGACCTTGAACAAGTTAGAACAAGCGGCAGGGTCTCAACTTCCTGCCACTATTAGATTGCTGTGAGTGCCTGCTGCAAGTGGACATGTTATTAGCTTGCATTAGAAAAATGGCCAGCTTGAAATGGGAGCAGTGTATCAACCTGAAATTTTTGGTGAAATTGAAACCTATCACTGAATCTTTGTGTACGGAGTCTACATGAAGCATACGAAGATGCATGTTGTAAGGTTGCCGACTTTTAGGGGCAATATGTTAATTGTGCATCAGGAAAACCTAGGGGAGAATCATATGTGGGTGGCGACGGTAGGAGACAAAGATGACAAGTGTCTTACACGAAACCGTTTATTTTAACAACTAGTTTAACTCACATAATATCAATAAACAATGCGATCTAGATTGGCTTGATGGCGGTGATCTCCGGTTGTCGGTGGCCAGATGCAGTCCATGATCCGAAGATGCGAGCCCAGGACTTGGGTGGCGAAATGTCTGTTTCACTAGAGATGATGCTGGGACGGAAGTGTTCCATTGGCGGGCGACGGTCCTGACTCTGTGAGGTGGCAGTTGTCCAGAGGAGAATTGACCCTTTGTCCTTGAGATTTGGAGATTTTATAAGATTTTCCCCGAATATCACCCTTTTGATTGGTCCTGTTCACCCTCTCCCTTACCCCGATTGGTCATTCTTTTGTTTCTAGGCGAAACCTGAGACCAATCAGAGTCAGGAAAAGGTTGAAGAGGTGATAACGGAGCTTTTAAAGTCTGCGCTTGTATTTTTCTCCGTTATGGCCCTTTCCTCTGGCATCTTTGAATCTAAACGGTCCACCAGATGTTCTTGTGGTCATTTACCCCCTAACGTGTTCGGGCTTAACAGATGTCCCTTTTGTCATTAAATCCCCCCTTTTGTTGATTCTTTTGATCCGACACTTGTTCGCAAGCATCTTGACAAAGCTCTCTCTCTCTCTCTCTGTCGACATTCCCTCTGCTGTTTATCATCACGTTGCATTTGTTTTACAAGTAAGAAAGTTTTCTTTCTGCCTGGGTGTCATTAACACACCCTCTTGACCCGATTCGATCTTCGAAACTCTCCGACTTAGGAGTTTCATAATTAGTTGCAATTTCACTTTTATGACCCTCACAATGTTTTTGTCTTGCATGTGAGTTCGAGTGGCACAGATTTTCTGAGGGCCGAGAGAATGTGAAAGACGACGAACATTCTGGATGGCCCTACACATCAAAAACTGAAAAAATGCACAAAAAGTAGAACAAATTGTGAACCAATACTACTACAAATAAGTTCTGAAATGTTTGTGGGAAAGGGCAGAAAAAAGTGGCAACACTTATGGCAAAATGGTTTCATCCATCAGGACAATGCACTACCCCATTCTGCTCTGTCAGCAAAGCAGTTTTTGGCCAAGAAGGGAGTCACACTACTTGAACATGTATTGATCTTTGCAGCCCTACCCAGGTTCATACTCTGGGTCTTTCTTCCAACAACTTCTGGAAGGTTATTGTTATTATTATTATATACATTACTGAATCTTACAAAATGTGTTTGAGACTTCTAACAACAAAATGCATGCAAGAAAAAATAAGGCCCATGGGCCTTATTTAGAGCTCTTGTTAACCTGCACTTTCCATTTACTAACAGATAAATAAATGCACATCAACTGGAAAATATCAGTACCTATATATTATTCTACTCATCACATACTTTAAAATGACATATAACATGTTTATATACATCAAGTTACCTTAGTAAGAATAAGAACAACTGGTTTTGCTGATGTTCAGTTGTATCAAAAATGATGGAATTGTCATCATTGGTTTCTGTAGTTTATGATAAAGCTGCTAAAGGGCAGGTGCTTTTGAAAATATAAAAAATCTTGTGAAAATGTTAAGTGTTATCTTTATAAAAAGAAAGAAAGGCCTTATTTGGCAAATGTACCTTATAGTTAATTAGGCTTCCAACATTTGGTCTAGATTTTCATCTAACTACATTCTTGAGATTAAGAAAGGACAAGTGGACAACAGTGAGGTATTGGACTGCAATTTTAAATGCAATCCAATAAAATTTATATTTAAGTTTTATTTTCTTTATTTCTCATTTTTAAGATTTATATATCTTTGTTGCCTATGTTTAATACAATGAGGTCTCATTTTAATGAATAAATATATTTTGTTTTGAGGAAATAATTGATCAGTTTAATTACTTTTTAATAATCTTCAATAATAATGTTGCTTTTGGTTTAAAATTAAATTTTTAATCAAATTTTATGTAAAATATTTCATTTTAAATTATTCTTCCTTATATTTTGTAAAAACAAAAGATATTTAGTTTATCAAACATAATACAGTAGTCTAAGAAACCTTATTTAAAATTCACATAAATTATATTCATTTTTAAATCATGGTAAAATTAAAATTTTAAATAAAGAAAAGTTATAAGAGATAATGTACTCATATGAACAAATATTTTCATAATCATTTATTCTTATTCTGAATAAACTGATATTGATACAAACTTACAAAAAGAATATGATAACAAAAATAAAGAAACAATATTACAATTTTTTGTATTGTATGAGCATAAATTGTTGCTTTGAATGCACATTTTGTACCAGTTTGAAGCCTAAATGCAAACTTATGGAAAATTACTAATCAATAGAAAATACATTATTAATTTATGAGGAAATTTCATTAATAGACAAATATATATAATAAGACAAAAATGCATTTTGAATATAATTAAATTACAATACAGAAATTTTTTTATACTAAATCTATTTTTTATTTTTCTGTAGTTAAGAACCATGCTTATATATTTAGAAGCATCACGTTACAAATTACAATGTTGTTTGGCTGATTTGAATGGACAGCAACGACCTTCTCATCCTCTTAGTTCTCATTTTGAACAATTCAGAGATAAACAGGTGATTTTTAGCTTAAATGTTTATTGCTTATTAGTTAAAGTTTTTATTATTATTGTTCCATTGATTTACAATAATTTTAAATTAGGGAATGACTCATACAATATTGAAAGTTCCACATTGGGTTAAGATGGAAAGAAGAAATTCTGACAGTAGTACTTCAATGGACAGTGATATTCCTGACTGTGACTATTACAGTTTTGTTCCTAATGACATACAAGGTTAGTGTAACATTTTGAAATTAATATAAGGAATATGATAAGTAAATAAAATTACTTTTGAAAATATGAATTATGAAATACAAGAAATCTTTTAAGATGGATTGAATTGAACTAATTGGATTTCTAGTGGAAGACCATTTCATTGTTTAGCTGACTTAGTTTGGATTGTTGATGGGCCTGATCCATAAAGGGATTACCCATTTTAAGTTAGAAATGGGAGATGATTTAAAATGCATATGAAGAGTTCAATAAACAATCCAAATTGGGCTCAAATTTAACTTTTATAGTAGTAGGAAATTATTTTATTTTTCAACAATCCAACCAGCAATACTTTATAATGATGATATTCATCAAAATATCAGGAGAGTTCTATTAGTAGGAAAATTCATTGTCTACAGAATTAATGTTTTGATCATTTCTTCTAATAGTTCCTTTTTTAACCATTTAATTTTATATATCAATTAGCCTTTAATCCCTTTTTCTTTTATATGTAATACATAATAAAATGTATATATGATAGTACTGTACATAATTTTATTGGTGGGTTATGTATTTGTAAAAAGTATAATGTATTATATTTTATGTTCCTACTACTAACATATTATTGTTATATTTTGATGACTTAGTTTATTTTATTTGTATTTAATGAAAATACAGTCGACCCCCCCCTATAACACGGTAGATACGTTCCATTCTTTATGAATCAATTTTGTACGAGTCCTTGCCAATCACAGCTCGGCACGTATGCACTTTACGGACTATGGCTGTTTGAAAGGTTTTCTTCCATAAAATTAATCGATTCCTCGANTATTTGTTAAAAAAAAAAAGGCTCAAAAGAAATCATCCTATATTTTATGTGAAGTTGTGATCTCCTATAGGCTAATGAATTCACCAAATGGCCTTTAGTTGGCTGTAGGCAACTTCTCCCTAACCAAATGCTTGAATAAAAATGTTATTGTTTAATTAAACATATTATTATTATTATTACTTTCTTTAACCAGAATACAGTAAAAAAAGTAGAGCCAACTGTCAAAGGCACAGGATAGCTTAAATACACTAAATACTTTTTACTAGATATTTTATGTTGAAATGGGAATGTCTTATGTGCTGTACTGTACATGGAAATATACTGGTGATCAAAAGTTGTGCTAGAGTTTGACTACCAATCAGGACAGGGCTCTTAATCTCCGTGTGTGTGTGTGTAAATCATATACAGTATATAATGTTTAAAGGACATTGTACACTCTTCTTTATACATTATATACATGTATAATGTTTATCTTAGTAAGCATGTATCTTAAAATATGGTTTTTGTTAAATATTTTTTAATAAAATTTGTTTTATAAATTTTAATCATCATTTGTTTCAGATCTGTGAAAGATTGAATACTGTTATTTCATATATTGATGTTTCTGCTGATCTTCAAATGGCTGTTAAATTACATAGTACAGGACCAAATGTTCCAGAACAACTGTTACCTGATTTTTTTGTAACTTATATGCTTTCTTATTAGTTTTAAAATTTGTTTTAGTTAAAAATTATTTATAGTATATATTTAAATAAATTAAAATATTACTAACACATTTTCAATTATAAAAGTATTAAAAATTTAAAGAAAAGCAGAATTCTAATAAAGTACATCTATAGGCTGAAGATGTCAACAACAACATGAAAAAGGAACGTAGGAAAGAATCATTAGAAAAATTTCTTAGAATGCTTAAGCATGACTTAGAATTAGAAAGAAAAGGGAAACAAGGTATATTTTTAAACATCTTTGTATATGAAAGTACAGTAGCTCTTTTTTATATCACTCATTTGAATAAATCACACATTTTTGGTCTTCCAAACTTAAAAGCCCTTAGCCAATCACTGAAAAAAAGTTCCATTGAATTTATGTGGCATACAGTCATATTGACTTTGATACTGCCAGAGTAGAAATACAGCCCGCCAAATAGGGGGCAAGTCAGCATTAATATTGAAAATAGACAAAGATTTGTAGATAATGTTATATTGTTACATCCATCTGATATATTGCTCATTTGATTGGTATCCTAATGTGTAATGTAATAGAGGACCTACTGTACTAACTTGATTCTATGATGCATGTGAATTTGTAGGCATCATAATTTAATTTATTTTTGTGAAAATTTTTACAAATGAAACTAATTAACTTAAATAGCACATAATAATTTACTTTAAAAAATACACTACTTATAAACACTTTATTTTAAAAAAAAGAAGGTTTAAAAATCATTCTATGTCTTATACAGTATTAGAGTTGTGATCTCCTATAGGCTAATGAATTCACCAAATGGCCTTTAGTTGGCTGTAGGCAACTTCTCCCTAACCAAATGCTTGAATAAAAATGTTATTGTTTAATTAAACATATTATTATTATTATTACTTTCTTTAACCAGAATACAGTAAAAAAAGTAGAGCCAACTGTCAAAGGCACAGGATAGCTTAAATACACTAAATACTTTTTACTAGATATTTTATGTTGAAATGGGAATGTCTTATGTGCTGTACTGTACATGGAAATATACTGGTGATCAAAAGTTGTGCTAGAGTTTGACTACCAATCAGGACAGGGCTCTTAATCTCCGTGTGTGTGTGTGTAAATCATATACAGTATATAATGTTTAAAGGACATTGTACACTCTTCTTTATACATTATATACATGTATAATGTTTATCTTAGTAAGCATGTATCTTAAAATATGGTTTTTGTTAAATATTTTTTAATAAAATTTGTTTTATAAATTTTAATCATCATTTGTTTCAGATCTGTGAAAGATTGAATACTGTTATTTCATATATTGATGTTTCTGCTGATCTTCAAATGGCTGTTAAATTACATAGTACAGGACCAAATGTTCCAGAACAACTGTTACCTGATTTTTTTGTAACTTATATGCTTTCTTATTAGTTTTAAAATTTGTTTTAGTTAAAAATTATTTATAGTATATATTTAAATAAATTAAAATATTACTAACACATTTTCAATTATAAAAGTATTAAAAATTTAAAGAAAAGCAGAATTCTAATAAAGTACATCTATAGGCTGAAGATGTCAACAACAACATGAAAAAGGAACGTAGGAAAGAATCATTAGAAAAATTTCTTAGAATGCTTAAGCATGACTTAGAATTAGAAAGAAAAGGGAAACAAGGTATATTTTTAAACATCTTTGTATATGAAAGTACAGTAGCTCTTTTTTATATCACTCATTTGAATAAATCACACATTTTTGGTCTTCCAAACTTAAAAGCCCTTAGCCAATCACTGAAAAAAAGTTCCATTGAATTTATGTGGCATACAGTCATATTGACTTTGATACTGCCAGAGTAGAAATACAGCCCGCCAAATAGGGGGCAAGTCAGCATTAATATTGAAAATAGACAAAGATTTGTAGATAATGTTATATTGTTACATCCATCTGATATATTGCTCATTTGATTGGTATCCTAATGTGTAATGTAATAGAGGACCTACTGTACTAACTTGATTCTATGATGCATGTGAATTTGTAGGCATCATAATTTAATTTATTTTTGTGAAAATTTTTACAAATGAAACTAATTAACTTAAATAGCACATAATAATTTACTTTAAAAAATACACTACTTATAAACACTTTATTTTAAAAAAATGAGTATATTAATTAATTAATTTTATAATTTTTTGAAAGTTTATTTCATTACTAATTTCTTTGTTTAGCTATTTTATTAAAAAATTAAATAAATAAAATAATAATAATATTGAAATTTAAAAACAAACCTTGTTTATTTTAACATTTTTTAAATGATAATTCATTAAAAAATTCCTTATGTAAGTTAAAATGTACTTATCTAATATAGCTGAGCAGTTCAAATTTTATATAATATAATTTACTCTATATACCATATTTATTTGAATGTAAGATGCACCCTATTTTCAGAGATACTAGAATCTGAAAAAAGTTGTTCTTAAATTCAAGTAAATATGGTATTTGAAATGCAATTCTTTTATATATCATGTTGTCAGACATAGCATACATTAATTTAGAAGTTTAACAGTTTTAATAACTTATTTTTGAATAAGTCTTCTTTATAATCATCATCAGTGTGATTAATGTAATAATATGCTTTTATTTTAGGACTCGAAAATTTAGCTAAAGTTTTTCAAGAAACACCAAATTTTGGAGATGCGGATGCCCAACAAGATGTAAATGAAAAATTGCAACATGTAAGTAAAATAAATTTATTAGAATATATACTATAAAAAAATATATATATGAAATTGTTACTTCTAAATTAATATAAAAAATGTTATTTAATTGAAACACAGGTTATTGTCTAAAAAACAGATACTGATACTAAAAACAAACAATTATAACAATTAGTATCTGTTACAGAATTTATAAGTTATATGAATAATGTAGTTATTAAATTGTAATTTACTGTTCAATAGCCCTGAACTAAACCTAAATAAAAAAATGAGGGTTGGTTGGTTGCCAGATCTGGCCTTCAGAATGGGCACTATTACACGGATTAGTTCAAATTATGGCTAGTGTAACAAAAGTCCCGAATTAATTGACTATATGTTAATAAAAAAACAAAATTTATTATGAGTGAACAAACTATTTACAAGAGATTAGTAAAAAAAACAAGCATTAAAATTCATTAATGATGATAAATTATACAAAAAGTATAAAATGCAGAACTATAATTAATTCAAAATCAAAAACGAAACCAAAACAAACATTCACAAAACTTCCCAACAATTGGGGTAGTTAACTTTAACTTAAATTTTTAACTCTTCACAAAAACCAACAAAAGAAAATTCTTACTATCTAAACCACCTAACTCTCACCAAAAAATGTCAGGAAATTCTTTTTGTCACTTGTTCTGGAACTCTGTTTGCTTGCTCTCAGAAGCTTCATCTCATTAACTTCATTATTGCTGGGGTTCTTTTATGCCTTGGTGTAACATCACAATTAGCTTTGCCACTTTAACTCATTTACATACTTAAGCAGTAACAATTCTTCTCTTCTTTTTGCAATCTTTTAGTTATACTAATCTTTCCAAAAATTCTCAGATTTTTTTAAAATCAATAACCAAAGGATAAAAAGAGAATTCTTTAACTCCACTTGGAGATTGCTTAATCTGAGATACCATGTTAGATTGACGGTGTTGGCATTACAGGTTTCAGTCATGTGGACGGTAAGTATTTTGTGCTTTAGAGTTTTGTTGGAATGGTGTGGAGTTTTCATTCTTTAAACAAGATGAAACATCTTCAAAATAAATAATAATGAAAAAAGTAAAGATAATCTTGTAATGAGTCAAGGCCAAATGTTAAATTCAAAAATGTTTTAGTTATTGTGAAATCACAATGCCAGGCTGAAATTTTTAATCACGTGACTTCTGGTCCAGACTGGAAGTTCATATAAAGTACATTTATCAAATAAGGACCATCTAATGTTTTAAGATGTTTTGTATTGTCATTATTAGAGGAAAAAGTGTGAAAGTTATACTGCAACATACTGTAGATGTATACTTGCAGAAATGTGAAATTAAAGTTAGCAAGTTAGTATTTGAAAATTTTTTTGTAATAATACATTTTCCAAAAGTTATGTAATGGGTCTTATTTGAAGATGGGCGTTCCAAATAAGGCCCATACATAAAGAAATAATTTATTAATTAAGATAAAAAGCAAGAGCTAATTAAATCACCATAAGTGTAATTAAACCCAATAAAATACAAATAGCTTAAACATCACATTCAGGGCAAAGAAAACTGGATATTTTGTCTTTAGCCATAAGTCCAACTCATTCTTCATGAACATATTTTGAATACTGTATACACAGTCTCATGTCAGCAATTTGATCTTCTTTGCATAAATAACAGTACCAGCTTTCTTTTCTCAATATTTGTCCAGCTGCAAGATCTATCACAAATTTTACAAGTTGATAAACCCATTTGATGAAAGTTGCTATGGTCATTGATCCTTTCTCAGTCATCTCAACCTCTCTGCTAGATGGAAGATAATCCATCTGTTCAGGATTTAATCTTTTCCCTTTAAAAATAATCATATACAGTATGACTTGACTCAGTGCCTTTCCACATGAGACAATAGATACATTTTCACTGTGTTCAGGTACTACAAGATGCACTCTTTTTCCTCCTTTTCTGGCATACACATTTTGCTGTTTATAGAGAGTGAGTCTACAGCTTTTCTCATCTATATTATACATTACATGGGGCTTTTTGAAAATATCCAAACACACCAATACAGTATTCATCTTATCAAAATAGTTGTTGACAACACATCTACATGGTGTGGCTAGAAAATAACGAGACTGTGATCGCCTGCACGCAACATTCTCTCTTGGGCCAAAGTGAGTAGGTGGGTGAACGACCTTGAACAAGTTAGAACAAGCGGCAGGGTCTCAACTTCCTGCCACTATTAGATTGCTGTGAGTGCCTGCTGCAAGTGGACATGTTATTAGCTTGCATTAGAAAAATGGCCAGCTTGAAATGGGAGCAGTGTATCAACCTGAAATTTTTGGTGAAATTGAAACCTATCACTGAATCTTTGTGTACGGAGTCTACATGAAGCATACGAAGATGCATGTTGTAAGGTTGCCGACTTTTAGGGGCAATATGTTAATTGTGCATCAGGAAAACCTAGGGGAGAATCATATGTGGGTGGCGACGGTAGGAGACAAAGATGACAAGTGTCTTACACGAAACCGTTTATTTTAACAACTAGTTTAACTCACATAATATCAATAAACAATGCGATCTAGATTGGCTTGATGGCGGTGATCTCCGGTTGTCGGTGGCCAGATGCAGTCCATGATCCGAAGATGCGAGCCCAGGACTTGGGTGGCGAAATGTCTGTTTCACTAGAGATGATGCTGGGACGGAAGTGTTCCATTGGCGGGCGACGGTCCTGACTCTGTGAGGTGGCAGTTGTCCAGAGGAGAATTGACCCTTTGTCCTTGAGATTTGGAGATTTTATAAGATTTTCCCCGAATATCACCCTTTTGATTGGTCCTGTTCACCCTCTCCCTTACCCCGATTGGTCATTCTTTTGTTTCTAGGCGAAACCTGAGACCAATCAGAGTCAGGAAAAGGTTGAAGAGGTGATAACGGAGCTTTTAAAGTCTGCGCTTGTATTTTTCTCCGTTATGGCCCTTTCCTCTGGCATCTTTGAATCTAAACGGTCCACCAGATGTTCTTGTGGTCATTTACCCCCTAACGTGTTCGGGCTTAACAGATGTCCCTTTTGTCATTAAATCCCCCCTTTTGTTGATTCTTTTGATCCGACACTTGTTCGCAAGCATCTTGACAAAGCTCTCTCTCTCTCTCTCTGTCGACATTCCCTCTGCTGTTTATCATCACGTTGCATTTGTTTTACAAGTAAGAAAGTTTTCTTTCTGCCTGGGTGTCATTAACACACCCTCTTGACCCGATTCGATCTTCGAAACTCTCCGACTTAGGAGTTTCATAATTAGTTGCAATTTCACTTTTATGACCCTCACAATGTTTTTGTCTTGCATGTGAGTTCGAGTGGCACAGATTTTCTGAGGGCCGAGAGAATGTGAAAGACGACGAACATTCTGGATGGCCCTACACATCAAAAACTGAAAAAATGCACAAAAAGTAGAACAAATTGTGAACCAATACTACTACAAATAAGTTCTGAAATGTTTGTGGGAAAGGGCAGAAAAAAGTGGCAACACTTATGGCAAAATGGTTTCATCCATCAGGACAATGCACTACCCCATTCTGCTCTGTCAGCAAAGCAGTTTTTGGCCAAGAAGGGAGTCACACTACTTGAACATGTATTGATCTTTGCAGCCCTACCCAGGTTCATACTCTGGGTCTTTCTTCCAACAACTTCTGGAAGGTTATTGTTATTATTATTATATACATTACTGAATCTTACAAAATGTGTTTGAGACTTCTAACAACAAAATGCATGCAAGAAAAAATAAGGCCCATGGGCCTTATTTAGAGCTCTTGTTAACCTGCACTTTCCATTTACTAACAGATAAATAAATGCACATCAACTGGAAAATATCAGTACCTATATATTATTCTACTCATCACATACTTTAAAATGACATATAACATGTTTATATACATCAAGTTACCTTAGTAAGAATAAGAACAACTGGTTTTGCTGATGTTCAGTTGTATCAAAAATGATGGAATTGTCATCATTGGTTTCTGTAGTTTATGATAAAGCTGCTAAAGGGCAGGTGCTTTTGAAAATATAAAAAATCTTGTGAAAATGTTAAGTGTTATCTTTATAAAAAGAAAGAAAGGCCTTATTTGGCAAATGTACCTTATAGTTAATTAGGCTTCCAACATTTGGTCTAGATTTTCATCTAACTACATTCTTGAGATTAAGAAAGGACAAGTGGACAACAGTGAGGTATTGGACTGCAATTTTAAATGCAATCCAATAAAATTTATATTTAAGTTTTATTTTCTTTATTTCTCATTTTTAAGATTTATATATCTTTGTTGCCTATGTTTAATACAATGAGGTCTCATTTTAATGAATAAATATATTTTGTTTTGAGGAAATAATTGATCAGTTTAATTACTTTTTAATAATCTTCAATAATAATGTTGCTTTTGGTTTAAAATTAAATTTTTAATCAAATTTTATGTAAAATATTTCATTTTAAATTATTCTTCCTTATATTTTGTAAAAACAAAAGATATTTAGTTTATCAAACATAATACAGTAGTCTAAGAAACCTTATTTAAAATTCACATAAATTATATTCATTTTTAAATCATGGTAAAATTAAAATTTTAAATAAAGAAAAGTTATAAGAGATAATGTACTCATATGAACAAATATTTTCATAATCATTTATTCTTATTCTGAATAAACTGATATTGATACAAACTTACAAAAAGAATATGATAACAAAAATAAAGAAACAATATTACAATTTTTTGTATTGTATGAGCATAAATTGTTGCTTTGAATGCACATTTTGTACCAGTTTGAAGCCTAAATGCAAACTTATGGAAAATTACTAATCAATAGAAAATACATTATTAATTTATGAGGAAATTTCATTAATAGACAAATATATATAATAAGACAAAAATGCATTTTGAATATAATTAAATTACAATACAGAAATTTTTTTATACTAAATCTATTTTTTATTTTTCTGTAGTTAAGAACCATGCTTATATATTTAGAAGCATCACGTTACAAATTACAATGTTGTTTGGCTGATTTGAATGGACAGCAACGACCTTCTCATCCTCTTAGTTCTCATTTTGAACAATTCAGAGATAAACAGGTGATTTTTAGCTTAAATGTTTATTGCTTATTAGTTAAAGTTTTTATTATTATTGTTCCATTGATTTACAATAATTTTAAATTAGGGAATGACTCATACAATATTGAAAGTTCCACATTGGGTTAAGATGGAAAGAAGAAATTCTGACAGTAGTACTTCAATGGACAGTGATATTCCTGACTGTGACTATTACAGTTTTGTTCCTAATGACATACAAGGTTAGTGTAACATTTTGAAATTAATATAAGGAATATGATAAGTAAATAAAATTACTTTTGAAAATATGAATTATGAAATACAAGAAATCTTTTAAGATGGATTGAATTGAACTAATTGGATTTCTAGTGGAAGACCATTTCATTGTTTAGCTGACTTAGTTTGGATTGTTGATGGGCCTGATCCATAAAGGGATTACCCATTTTAAGTTAGAAATGGGAGATGATTTAAAATGCATATGAAGAGTTCAATAAACAATCCAAATTGGGCTCAAATTTAACTTTTATAGTAGTAGGAAATTATTTTATTTTTCAACAATCCAACCAGCAATACTTTATAATGATGATATTCATCAAAATATCAGGAGAGTTCTATTAGTAGGAAAATTCATTGTCTACAGAATTAATGTTTTGATCATTTCTTCTAATAGTTCCTTTTTTAACCATTTAATTTTATATATCAATTAGCCTTTAATCCCTTTTTCTTTTATATGTAATACATAATAAAATGTATATATGATAGTACTGTACATAATTTTATTGGTGGGTTATGTATTTGTAAAAAGTATAATGTATTATATTTTATGTTCCTACTACTAACATATTATTGTTATATTTTGATGACTTAGTTTATTTTATTTGTATTTAATGAAAATACAGTCGACCCCCCCCTATAACACGGTAGATACGTTCCATTCTTTATGAATCAATTTTGTACGAGTCCTTGCCAATCACAGCTCGGCACGTATGCACTTTACGGACTATGGCTGTTTGAAAGGTTTTCTTCCATAAAATTAATAGATTCCTAGACTAATTTGACTCAACATTTCCAAAACACGTATATTTTTTTTTGGGAATAATCCGTATAAACTATACTATAAACAAAAAATTGTAGGATTACTTACCGAGTGTGCACTGTTTGACGTCACCATTGCTTAAGCTTGTTTTTGTTGCAGAGCAGCACACAAACGGCGGTTGCAATTTCTGATAAGTTACTTTTCTGCGAAAACTTCGTTGAACTTTGGAGACATCATTAATATAAATAATTTTTATGGCTGTTGAAAAAGAAATGTTTCTTTCACAAGAAATGTATAAAATTAGTGCTGTATTAGACTTACAGTACCTAATTTACATACTGTACAGACGATAGTAAACTCAACTTACTCGCCTAAACTCTCCATAGCATGGCGCTGGACAGCGGAAAGTAGTTCGGCTGCCCGATGATGTTTTACCAAATTATAGGAGTTTTTTTACCATGTTTGTACGGATACCGTCACAATTTTTTTGCTGTCATATAAGAATCCGAACTACAGGAACCCGTGTTATAGGGGGGTCGACTGTATGTGTGCACATACAACCATATAGTATTTGTTTTGTTATTGGTGAATTAAACTTTAGGTAGATTGGTCATTGTCAAACTGTTTACTTTAAAAAAAACGTCATGTATAGTAGAATCTGATTATTGTAATTACAGATACAGTAGAGCATTGTTTATCTGAAAGCATTCCAGTTGGCAAATTTAAATTTTCACTAGTGCTGTGGTGCTATCTTTGGCTATATGTTGGGCTACTCCAATATTCTTTTTTTGTGGGTATGTGTATTTTAGCTGGCAGCACTGGCACCTTTGTGTGGTGTTTTTCTGAGGACTATGTCGTGTTGAATTGAACATTTTTGATACTAGATCAACTTCTAAAGTATCTTTTTTTGTTTTTTTTTTGTTTTTATATTTTTCAATATATTTATTTTATTTGTACAAAATAAAAAAATCATTTTTAATTATACAATAGCCACGATTATTATTTTAAAAAGTTTTCAATAGGCTTAACATCGACGAAAATTCAACGCAAAGCGACACACAACGGAGAAAAATTTCAAAGTGGGATAGGTTAATATATTTATTCATACATAATCGGTTATCTGAACAACCCCAGTTCCCAATTGATTTGGATAAATGATGCTCTACTGTATAATGAAATGTTCCAAATCATATAACTGATTATTTTTTTAACTTATGTTAATTCTGATAAAAAAAAACTCATTTATAAAACTTTGCTTATTACAATCAGAACTTCAGTTATTATTATTGTTAGTTTAAAAATCCTTATTTACCTTTTCCTGTCATCACCAGTTCAGCATATGGCTGATAACACAATCATTATCAATGTTAACCATTGCTAGTTAAAGCACCAATGTTTTAATCATTATTTACTCATAGTACAGTAGTTTAATTCATGCAACATTCAAATTTTACAAAATTATAAACTAAATATTTAAATTTTCTATTGTTGTTGTTATAAAATTTTATATTTTTCTTTGATTTTATAAATTTTTACATTATAAACTTTCCTTCTTGCTTAAATTTGCAGGTCAAAAAATTATCAACTTTCATTTTCAGAAAGAACTTTCAATGGTATTTTTGTATTATGAACATGGTGATAATGATTTACTGTTATAAATTATCTGATTATGACTTTAGTTTTTTGTCAGAATAGGTAATATTTGATTTACATCAATTTTAAAAGAATGGAGAATAAAACTATGCTTTTTGAAAAGGAAAAGTTAATATGGTTAACTTTCAAGATATTGCATTTACTTGATGAACTTTAATTTGAAGAATTAAAAATTTTAAGTCAAAATCAATTTCAATTCTTTATTTTAATGAAAACTCCAATTAAAATGGTAATAAGATCACAGATTTGTAAATTTAAAAGCATCATTGGGGAGTATAATACTGAAACACATTTTGAAAAAACAAAATCTGGCTGTTTGGCAATTTTTCTTGCTAGGGACCATCACTCCATACTTAAAGTTTGGAATCTATCAAATTCCTTTCAAACAAGGTACAGGTGTAGTTACTTTTTTGTATATTGAGGCCATGTGAGAAAGCTTTAGAATTTCTGAACATCAAAATGTCTTCAAGAAGTGTCCACATTATAAATAAAAGCATCAACAGGGGTATGAGTTTGAAAGCACTAGGATAAATCTGTATAAAAAAAAACTCCAATTAAAGCATATGTTTATTGTGTTACAGCGTAAGTTATGCTGTATTACAATAAACAGACCAAAAATTATTTTTTCTTTTACAAAACTTTGGTAACTTTGACATAAATAATTGTGTGTTTATTTTTAACACATTAAAATTAAAAATATTTTTGACAGGTGGATCAGATCAGATCTATGCTAATTTGCCATTTAAACAACCAGAACTAGAAAACCAAAGGCATCCTAGTCAATATAAAGCTCTCTATAATTATCAAGCTAAGTTAAGTGATGAGCTTTCTCTTCAACCAGGTAAACCTCTTTTTCTTATTGAAATTTACTGTATTTTCAATAATATATTAAAATTTACTGTTACTTACATTTCAGGTGATATCATCACAGTTTTGAAAACTGCAGATGACGGTTGGTGGCAGGGAGAACTTAGGGGTACTGTTGGAATGTTTCCATCTACTTATGTAACAGAGATTAAATGATTCCAATAACATGACAATGTGTACATACATATATATATATATATTTATTGGAATTTATTTCTGCTAGTCTCTAACAAAATAAGACCACATTAAAAAAACATGATAGAATAATACAAGTAAACATTCAACATGACTTCGCAATATTTTAAACCAATATAGTGATCTATATATTACAGTCAATAATTTGGAATTTTTAACATTTTGTTATGTAAGAAACAAATATTGTCAATCTTTCCAAAATTTTCAACCACCAAAAATAAAATAGAAGTAAAAAAACTGTTCAGAAATTAACAAGACAAGTTTCTATAATCATAATAATAATAATAATTATTATTAATCTGCCAATCAAATTTATTAATTTTATTCTTAGTTTTGAAAAAGAATAGGTATTAAAAGTTTGTTTATAGACTATTGTTACACAATTTTTCAAAATGTAAATATATTGTTTACATATCACATAAAAGCACTGTATAATATATATTTGCTTGTAGAACAAATGCATAACTTTGTTATTAAAAGAAAAATGATTAAGAAAATCTGATATGCAATGTTTGATATGTATCAAATTTCCGCAATGATTATTTAAAATTCAATTTTTGCATAAAATATAATTTTCATTATGTTTGCAATTGAATCCAATTGATTATGCATTGAATATTGAAACTAGTACACGTGCTACAGAATTAATCACGCTTATTCTTGATTTTAGTTGCAAAAATAAATAAGTATTGATGATAAATATTTGTAAACTTCTATATACAAAATCATCATGTATGTGTTTCCGTAAGCAAATGTAAAATATTAAGAACTATGTACTGCACTAATATACTTATTCAAAAGTATTTCTTTGAAAAGTTTAATATTTTGTTAATCAAGTTATTTTTGAATATGGCAGTCTTCCTAAAGTTTGGTGCCATGATGGTTGATTAAAATTTTTGTAGCCAGAAATAATAATAGTCTTTCATTAATTTTCAGTTTATTTAATGATAAAGATGGGCATACAAGTCTCAAGCTCATTCAGAAGACTTTTTTGGCTGGTGAAAGATGTGGAGAGAGTAATAGACTTAATCTTTGGCCAAATTTTTATGTTAAATTATTGAAATGTTTAAGATTTTTATTATAGTTACAGAAAGATTAATTATGTGAATCCCTAGTTATTGGTGCAATTTACAGCTGTGAGATCAAATTAATATTTCTTAATAGAAATATGATTTTTTTATAAAAATATAACATTCAGAAACTGGATAATATAGTTATTGAAATGTTAAAAATTTAAATGAAGTTTGTTCTTCTAAATAATTTGCATCATCATGACAAATAAGATAAAGCTTAATACTAATGAGTTTCCAAAATCTGTCAACATGAATCATTAAAAATCAAATGTATCTAAGATTGTAATTTTTAAATATCTATAATCAGAGATTACTACCTCATCTTGTGCAATATAAACATCAGACTTGGGATGATAAGAATAAGAATGAATATAAGTTTGATTATAATGATTTGTGCCCATCTTTATTATTTTCTTAAAAGTTATAATCAAGATCAATATTTGAAAGTATATATCGGGACCACATTTTATACTTTTTATTGGAATAATTTTATATTCCACATTTTGCAATTGAGTAAATAAATCCAATTATATGATGTGATGTGCTTGTAGTCAAATATATAAGCTTACATATAGATTGGAATTATTTGAGTTTCACGATTTTCTTTTATCTATTTCGTGACAAATGAAATGTAATACGTAAATTTTACGAAAGAAAAAATTTTATATTGTAAATATTTAAACTTAGCTTTATTGTTGGGTTTTAAAAATGATCATGTAAAATTTACAGTGTCACAATATTAAACTGTTGTTTAAAATTTATGAAGTGTGTTTTGATTCCTTTGATATTTGCTCTTTGAACTTCTCTCGTACGGCAGCCACAAAACTTTTCAGGTCGTTTGTTTCGTTCAGTTTTTCAAGCAGCACATTTGCCTCTGGTATTTCTGGCTGACATAATGTAACTGCAAGAAAATTATGTAATTAATTTATTATTATTATTAGTAGTAAAAACTAGTAAATTAGCAAGGATGACAATTTTGATTTTTTTTACTTAGAAGAAAATATAAAAAATTCAATTATTTAATAAATGTATGATTTAGCCATTGCCAAAGGAAAATTTTTATCTTGCACGTTGTGGCAGATAATGAACCTACAAAAGGTTGACTCTTCCATAGGGGTAACATGAATAAGAGAGTATTTTTATTTTTTTTTAAATTTTACAAAAAAATAATTGAAGAAACATTAGAAATTCTTAGTTTTTATAAATTTTGCAATTAAAATACAAAATACTTAAAGATTTTTTTAATATTGCAGTAACTTTACAAATTTGTAAACAAAATTATTATTTTGACATATCATGGTCAACATAAATTTCATAGCAATTTCCTATAATCTCTTATCCATAAACAATTTATACTAATATTTTCTTTTTGGCTTAAAATTTGAAGATGAAAAAATTTTATTTGAAATCATTTTGAGATTTGTCAAGTTTTAAGAAAGGACTATCATTTTTAATGGGAGAGATACTTTGTTTTTCATGTTAGCATTTTATATCATCACTAAGGGATGCTGAAAAAGCTCACAAAAACTAATTTATTGATTTTTGAAAATAAAAATGCTGATGAAACTTCTTGTTCTGTTATTTTAAAAGTTACATAATAAATCTTCATAAAAGAATAACTGGAATTGAAATCAGAATTTATGTTTATTAATAATAATGACATATGTTATGCAAAGATCATATTAATCCAAATTTATTTGCATTATAAGCAAGATTTATTTTGCATAGAAAAATATATATTACTAATATTTCAATTTTGACAGGCAAAATTAGAAGTAAATTAAAATCATGTTGCATAGAAATTTAAATTTCTATCAATTTAAAGGAAATATTTTCAAAATTCTTATATATCCAGGGTGGCCAAGCTCCTTGATAGTCCGAGCCATTTTTCAAAATTTGAAATTTTTCGCGAGCCGCAATTAAATACGTATTAAAAAGGTATGCAAAAAATTCCAGATTATAAATTATATTCGTAGCAAGAGTGATACAAATTGTTTCCTCCAGAGCACAATGTCAACTGTCCATTGCAATGACAGTTTACAAATTCAAAATCGGTCTGGAGTCGGTCGATAACGGACGATTACGCCACTGTTTATGTTCGTTCGCGCAGTTTTCCATGAGTCATATCATTCTTAACTTGGACGGAAATGAAATTTGTTACAACGTTGCACTTAGTCTTTCATATTTGTTGTTAGTAATTTAAAAGACATTTTGAAACACATACGGAACGATGATAATTTTAAAAAATATAACAACACAAAATGAAGAGGGAACTCGGGTACATTTATCGAGAGCCGCATGTGGCTCGCGAGCCGCAGGTTGGCCACCCCTGTTATACATGAAGAATTAAGATTTGTCTTAAATGTAGTCAGTGTGTGTGTGTATTGCACAAATATCTGATTATTTGATTGGTTTATTTAGAAAATATTCATTGTAGAATTTAGTTAATATGGCATGTAGCAGAATTTATTCTTAATTTGAAAAGTTAAAAATAATATATAGATAATAATCATCTCAATCTTCATTATAACATGATAATGGCCAAACCATAAACCAATTGTCAGTTTCTTAAACTGCAGAAAATGGTTTCAAAATGTGTGTTATTTAACAGGGATGGGGTCAAGATAACTTTCTTCATATCTAGAACAGTTAAACAGTGTAGCCATTCTACTGTTGATTCTGTAATCATCTGCTGAAGAATTGCAAACATAACATTATTTTCAATATTTGAATTTCAAAATAGTATTTCTGAAAATTTTTCTATCATTTATATATGAGAGAGATAAGAGTTCTCCAGTGAAAAACTTTATATCAATGAAATTTTGATTTATTCAAAATCTATAAAAAATTATGTGTATCACATCAATATATCAAACTAAAACCTTTTATTTTAAAACATAGAATAAAAAAGTTGTCAATCCTGAGATTCAAGATACTTTAACAAATAAAATCTCAAAAATAGTACAAAAGTAGGAAAGGCTACATATATATTGACTCAAGAAATTACAGATTTGGAAATATAGTATAATCATGGTAATTGACATGAGACTGGGATTGGAATAGTGTCTGATTAAGCAATCTTTTTTGCATGAGGACTGCAAGAAAATTTCATAGGCTTCCAGCAGGTTGTATAATATTTTTTTATGGAGTTGCAGGCTTTAAAGCCTACTGAGTACTAACATACTCAATAACTGCCATTATATTATATACTAACAGATGAGCCCGGTGTTGCTCGGGTAAAAAATAACAGCAGCAAAGATTAAGATTATCAGATTATTCTGTACTTCTAACCATTCTACTATATTATATTATAGTATTTGATTTACAAAGGTTATCTTACGTAAGAATTTATCATACTGAGTGCCCAATCTAATACATTTAAAAAATTTTTTAAATTGTGTACAGTAGAGGAATGAATACTTTTTTAAAACATGTTAGATTGATCATTCAGTGTGATAAACTCTTACATAAGATAACCTTTATAGTTACAGTGGAACCCCGGTTAACGAACGTCCTGGTTAACGACCAAATCGGTTAACGAACTTTTATTTTGCAAAAATTTTGTCTCCGATAACGAACGTAGCAGTATTTTGTGTCAAATTTTAGTTGGTGTTAGGCATGCGCGAGTTAAGCATTGTTTTTTTTAAGTGTTTGTGCTATACTGCTTTTTTCAGTTTTGTGATTTATATATTTAATCAATATGGCATCCAAGAAAGAAAAAAGTCATAGTGGCAATAGAAAACGACAACGCAATATAAACTACAATGTGTTATCGCATTTGAGAAAAATTTTAATTAAAAGAGTAAGACAATCAACTTTAGATCAACTCCTTACGGAAAGAGTTTGTTTCTTTGTTAAGTTATGGCAACGAAACACTTGGGTGATCTGACTAGAGGGAATGCCTTCTGGGAGGTATTTTTAAGGGAAACTGGCCCCTATTTAGGTGTTACAGACGTGGAGAAATCACGGAAAACTCCACGTGGCCAGCTCGTCTGAGCGCGGTGCGAACCCACGTACGAACTCCCCGTGTTCAAGGTACGAAGACCACTTAGCCACTGGTGGTTTTTTTTTACCAAAAGAGACTTTGACTCGAAGAATCTTCCGATGAAGTGCTACCCATTATTTTTTTGGAGGGGATTCCCCTTCTAAGCATTAAGGTTCGTATATTCCACTTTTCTGCCACCAACTACAACAAACGAAGGTATGTTGTAGTTTATTACAGTGCTATTTTATTAAACAAAGTTTACATTTTGTTGCTGTAATGATAGATACTACGTTTTCCTACATTTTCATCAAAGAAAATTACTGTATATTACAAATAAAATGACAAAAATTTCGGAGACTAGAACGGATTAATTGCATTTGCATTAATTTCTATGGGAAAAATTGATTCGGTTAACGAACGGAGTCGTGGAACGGATTAAGTTCGTTAACCGGGGTTCCACTGTATATAGCCGATCTTACCCATTTTCAATGGGTGCAAGAATTAGGACATCTCCTCTGAGGCTAATTAGAAAATTTTTAGATGGGTCTAAAAATATGGTCGATTTCCTGCAAAAACACAAAAAACAGCAACTAAAATAGTAGAGTAGAAACCAAGTTCTTCAGGGCAATCTTTAAACCTTCTCCCTCTCCCCCACAGGGGGAATTTCTAAAAATTTCTTTTTAGTGTGCATTCTCATGACATACCCAAACTGTACCACATTTAAACTTTCAACTTCTGTTTGGGGCTCTGCACTCTTATTATTATGTTGTTTAGTGGGTTATACTTGGTTCACACTGGTGGTTGTGTACTATGCCTGACCAGAGTCAAGGCATATTTAATTTTAGTTTTTGGTTGCTAAGTGTGTCAGTATCATGCCATATTAGGAAATTTCTGAATTTCCTAATATGGCATGTATTCAATATAGTGGTCTTCTGTAGTGTGATGTATGTATTTCTCTCCAATTGTAATGTTCCCAGGCTTTTGTGTAGTGTGTATGATATCACACCTGTACAGGAGAGAACAACAGGTAAAATAAGAACCCTATACATCCTCCACAGATGCTTTATTTCCTGGGCGAGTTCTGTGTACTTGCTAATTTTTTCAGTGAATGTGTTTTGTATATTGTGAGTGTTTGGAATGGATATGTCTATAATGTATGTGATTTTATTGTTTGTCAATGAGTGTGATGTCTGGTCTTGTTGTAAATTGTTTTATCTGTGATTATGGCTCTGTCGGAGTACATTTGTGCATGTTGTTTTTCAATACTGTCTGTGGAATGTATTTGTAGTATGGTTCGTGGATGTCTAATAATTTGTGTTTGTTTGCAAGATCTTGGTGTATTATATTTGCAACTTGATTATGTCTGTGTAAATAATCTGTGCCAACAGCTTGCAAGCAGAAGTGATGTGTTGTATAGTTTCTGGCATGATGTGACATTTTCTGCATGTGTCATTTGTGAGTGTTGTATCTTTGAGTATGTGTTTTCTGTAGTTTTTAGTATTTATGACCTGATCCTGTATGGCAATCATGAATCCTTCCGTCTCCCCAAAGAGGCATCCCTGATCTAACCAGCTGTTTGACGCAGTTTTTTTAACAAAATCCTGGGCCAGGTCGTAAGGATGTTTGCCATGGAGTGCCTTTTGAGCCCACGATTGCTTGATGGTGTCTATGCTTGTTATATGTTGTGTCATGTCTGTATGATGTGAGCGTAAGTTTAATGGTGTGTTATTTGAGTCTGCCAGAGTTACTGCTTTAAGTAACTGTGATGTTTCTTGTTTCTTGTAGAAAAACTCTCACAGTGACTGTATTTGTTTGTAGTGAAGGTTAACTATGTCAATCAGGCCACGTCTGCCATCTTTACGTGGAAGGGTTAATCTTTCTGTGGCAGATTTAGGGTGATATTGTTTATGCTTAGT